CTGATGGGTACTGTGTTGTTCTTGGGGTGGGCTACCACACGGGCAAGCAAAAGATCGTGTTGTTTGGCAAAACTTGAAGATGGTTCCACTAGACCTAACAAACCATCACCACAACCAGCCCCCTTAACCTTAGCATGCAACACTATTTCATGACGTCCAGGAACAACCACAGTCTCCGCTAAACTTATCCTAAAAACTTTGTTGCCACCACTCTTAGCCTGAAGGTTAACAATTTTGCACCCAATACTTGGTGACTTAGCCTCAAAATCAATTTTGCAACCATGTTTACCTAAGAAATCTATACCTAGTAAACAATCCTGGGTAACATCTGCAGCAACTAAAACTGAATGAACCATGTTCACCCCATCTACGCAAATTTCCAGGTCACACTTGCCCCTAATATCCAAAGGTTGGCCATTCGCTGAAACCACTGGTTCACCAACCACACTTAAGTTAAAATTTTGGGGGGACCTGTTAAGCACCCGCTGATGCACAAGAGTCACTGCCGACCCAGTGTCGACCAACATGTCAATAGGTTGCCCTGCCACTAGCCCTGCTACATACACAGCAGTGTCACTAGGAACACTAGTACTATGAATACTTGGAAACGAGTTGGCTACAACTTTAGTTTCTACTTTCTTACTTAAATTATTCTCCGGCACATTTCGGGTCTCTCCGATTTCCCCGACCGACGCTTGACCCGCGGCGCTCATCTCTTGGAGTTTCCCTGCTGATCCCGTGATGGTTGAGGACAATCGGCAATGTAATGCCCCCGTTTGTGGCACCTAAAACAACGGCGTTGTATTCGATCTTTTGTATTCGGCCCCAGTCCCCGACCGTTTTGTTTACGTTCGCTCGCGCCCGAAGTTGAAGGCGGCTGCCGCTGTTGCTGGTGTTGCTGTACGAAGTGAACCATCTGATTTATGGCGGCTGTGTTCTGTTTGAGGAGTTCTGCAAATGCACTGCGCTCATCCTGGGCTGGTTCTTGTATTACTCGGACCGACCGACCCTTAGTCCAACGAGACTCCGCTTCGTACATTGCCTCGATTTGCAAGGCTCGACTGACCGCTTCATCGAGCGTTTTTGGACCCGATTCTCGGATCTTCATCCGTATTTCCCGGTCCTCCAACGCGTCGATAAATTGATCCTTCGCAAGGCTGTCTTGCAAATCAGGAATCGCCTCGGGATACGCTTTACCGACGAGTCGTCGCAGCGAACTAGCGAGATCCGGTAGCTTCTCGTCCCGTCGCCGGCGTCTTGCACGAAACTCAGCCTTGTGGAGCTCGATCCGTTCTTTCGGCACAAATTTTTCGCGAAGTGCTCTTTTTAAACCCGTATAATCTCCCCGCACGTCCGGTGATAAACTCTGTAGTTGGAGCAACGCGGCCCCACGCATACGAACAGCGAGAAACTGAGCTTTACGCGCGTCGTTCCACTCGTTTATCACGGCGCAATCTTCGAAATGTGAAAGCCACGAGTCCCATTCTTCGTTCCCGGCCGCCGAAAATGCCTCCGGCATAACTATTGGCCTATTACTACTAGTTGCCGCTTGTGCAGTAGCACCTGAGCTAGGGGCAGGAGTTTCTCCCTCGTTATTAACCATAATAAATTTAATCAATTACGTACACAAGAATAGCGATAACCCAAAACACAACCAAGCCAGTACAAGTTCCGCAAACCCAATTGCGACAAACAGCTTCCCGACAACTTATCAACTACAAACAAGCTCTACTTATCTCCAAGAATCGCTAAACTCCTCGATCCTTGTAGAACTGATCCACGAAGACTTGAATTCGATCCCGCCGCTTGCCACCAGTGTTGTAAACGGGAGTTGATTTCGTGGCCAACAGATAAGTGTCGACTGCTTGAGTATCTCTAGACTTGGCCGGTTTCGAGCCATCAGTATTCTAAGAGACTTGCACGCACTCAAGTCCTGATTACATTCATATTCATCCTACACAAAATCCTATCAGTTTAAAGGGTGTAGCTTGTAGCGTTTACGTTATTCCGATCGGAAGGCACATCTAACTATCTACTTTACACGATGCACATTTTTGCACGCTTGCTTACACAATAGGGATCATATTTCCGGTTCCTATCAAGCTAGTAATTGATCTATTGTTCACTTAAGATTAACAAGTCACGATTCATTGTACAAAGTGTCACGAATTCTTTAACTTTACTACATCTGTAATGGGGGAGTTAAACTGAATTTCGAAGTAAAGCATGTGAATGTACATATAACTCTTAAGTTTTAAAGCTCATGTGAGCATCTTATCATTTAAGGAAAAGACAATGTATATTATGTATTAAATTTTATTACACAACAGATTGTCAAACTACAGCTGAGAGCACAGGATCTGGATATGTATGATTAATTTCAATAAAGGATTGGCAGTGACAGCTGAATAATGAATTTCTTGTTTGCTAGCCAGTTAAACAGATAAATATATTTCACCTAAGAGTTAATACTCTTTATCTTGGCAACTAAGGATAAACAAAAGCTCTTCTAAAAATTTTGAAACCCTTACAACCTGCCGGACTAAGAGCTGTCCTCCAGCCTTTCAAATGTCCCCAACCATCAACAGCTATCCTCAAGCTTGCAGGACTCACAGCTGCATGTCCTCTAGGCTGCAGGACCAACAGCTGTCCACCAGGCACCAGGACCTGGAACTGTCCCTCTGCCTGCAGGACCCACAGCTGTTTTTCAGGCTGCAGGACTGACAGCTGTTCTCCACCTTTTGCAGCACCAGGAATTTTTCTACAGACTGCAGGACCCACAGCTGTCTCCCAAGCTGCATGAGAAAACAGCTGTCCTGCAGCCTGCAGGACCCACAACTGCTTACAAGGACCAAGAGCCTTCCTTCAGCCGGCAGGACCCACAGCTGTCTTACAGGCTGCAGGACCAACGACTGTCCTCCAGCTTGCAGGACCCACAACTATATGCCAGCCTTCAGCACCAAGAGCTGTCCTCCAGCCTGGAGGTCTAACAACTGTCCTCAAGCTAAAGGACCAAGCTGAAGAAGCTCAAAGGCTGTTTCCCACCTTTCAGGACCTATAGTGGGACTATTTTTACAACTTGCAAGACCAAGAGAAATTTCCATTACCTGCATGACCACAGGCTGTTCTCCAGTCTGGAGGACCACGGGCTAAACTCACAACCTGCAGGATCTAGGGGTAAAACCCACATCCTCTAGGTCCAACATCACTTCAAAGCTTACTCAAATAGTTAGACACAGCTCAGGATTCAGGTTTTAATGTGATTCCACAATAATTGTGCCAAACCTTCAGGACCAAGAGCTGTACCTCAAACTGCAGGACCAATAGCTGTCACGCAGGAACCTGCAGGGCCGTAGGTTAGAAAACTGTAATAGGTTATTGCGCTTCCCTCTTTAAATGAAGTTATTGTATTGTATTGTATTGTATTGTATTGTATTGTATAGCTGTCCTTTACACCCAGGACCAACAACTGTCTTCCATCCAACAGGGCCAAGAGGTGTCCTCAAAGCTGCAGGATCAAGAGATTTTCTTCAGCCTGCAGGACCCACAGGTATCCTCTAACCTGAACGACCAAGAGCTGTCCACCAGCTGCAAGAACCGCAACTATCCCCCAACCTACAGGACCAAAAGCTGTCCTCTAGCCCTCAGGACCATCAGCTGTCCCTAAGCCTGAAGGATCCAGAGCTGTCCACCAGGTTGCAGGACCAACAGCTGTCCTCTGGCTAAGAGGACCAAGAGCCTTCCTCCAGGCTGCAGGACCAAGAGCTGTCCTTCTGCCTACAGCAAGAAGAGCTCTCTGTCAGGTAGTAGCACCACGGCTGTCTTCCAGGCTGCAAGACCAACAGCTATCCTCTATCCTGCAGGACCAAGAGCCTTCTTCAAGCCCGCAGACCAACAGCTGTCCTAAACCCTGCAGGACCCACAGGTGTTCTCCAGAACTGTCCTCCATCCAACACCGCCAAGAGCTATCCTCCAGACAGCAGGACAAAGAGCTGTCCTTTAGCCTACAGCACCAAGAGCTTACCTTCAGCATGTAACACCCTCAGCAGTTCTCCGGCCTGCAGAACCCACTGCAAGACAGAGCTGTCACCTAGCCCGTAACTCTAAGCTATCCTTCAGCCTGCAGGACCAACAGCTGTCCTTACGCCTGCAGGGTCCACAGCTGTCCTGCAGCGACCAGGACCAGCCAACATGGCCAAGCTACATTGTAGGTCCTCCAGGTGCAGGATCTAGGACCAAGCTGAAAAATCAAGGCCTGCTGTCGTCATAACCCTAGGCTCAAAGGAGTATAGTAGGATTGTTTTCACAATTTGCAAGTCCAAGGGTCTCATTTTTACCCATAGCACCAAAAGCTGTTCTCCAGTCTGGAGGTCTAAGGGTTTAACTCACAACCTGCTGGGCCACAAGCTAAACCCCACACCCTGCATGTCCAATAGCATTCCATAGCTTTACTCAAACCATTTAATACTTGAAGTGCATAGTGATGCCCGCATGTGGAAATGAATGCAAGTGATGTAGTACACTTGGGACCTACAGAATTTTCATGTAAATATACATAATAGCATGTGTTAAATTTATTCTGTTGGCTTTTTTTGGTTTAGAGTAAGTATGTAACGGACGTGAATAAACGACGTTTAACTTTACCAAGGTGCACTACAGTACTATTCAGGTTTTAATGCAATTCTGGACATCCCTTTTACTGCACTTCATTTCACATCTCCTGCTTGTCCAGTAGCTTAAAGTTATCACAGTTATGCAGAGTTTATGCTCCTTGGTGCACTTGTAAATACCCAAATGCACAGTTTTAAAAAAATGTTGCACAAATATCAGGCTAATTAGATTGGCATGCAAAGAAATTGTAACATGTAATCAGAATCTGGATTTAAAGTACAATGGAAATAAGATATCATTTTTCTTTGTGTATTTTTTATTGCAGAGGCAAATCATAATATTATTATTTCAACTTGAAAACTTGTGTGACAGCTTAAATCTGTACTATAGTTCCTCAATAATAATAAAGTTGCATGTTCAATAAATATCTTTCAGACTTGTGCTCAAAATATTTGCAGAGGACAACTGTACGTGGTTCCTGTGTTATCATATTTACATTCAATCTCATTTGTAATCTACATTGAGCTTTAAATAATTTTTTCCTTGCAAAATACAAAAATGGTAGTAATATTGTGCTAAGAAAGTGTAAAACTATTAACTTCACCCCAGTCATCAGAGAATAATAATTTGTACGATGAACAGATATCACTAGCTAGCAGAGATATCAGTATCCATTGTCTTAGCCTATGCAAACAGATAGGTCACTAAGCTAAAACTGACCATGTTACATTTAACTGGAACCTGACATCTGGATTGTATAGCTGCATGTCAAGTACTACCTAAAAGGGGCTGTGTCATGGCAGTCCAGTTCATTTTGTTTAATTTTACCAATTACTTGCCCTCAATCACTACGGAACTTAAAGTAAGCAAAGAAATTACATGTAAATGACAAAATCAGAGATCTGAAACAAAAAAAAATGTCTCCTGAGCATTATTTTTGAAGTTGCAAGCAGCAGGGATCAACTTTAAAAAACTGTTAGGCTGAATAGTTTTCAAAAACCCTAATTTCAACCCATTTCAGTCTTCTTCAGTTTGGCCCATTCGTGGAATCTGTTGTTTCTGTTGTGTTATTTTAACCTTCCTTTAATGTTTTAAGTGGTTATTTTATGTTTCTCTTAATTTAATGGGCATTTTTTTATTACCTAATTTGTCTAAATTTCGTGACGACAGCTCCTTTACATCTTAAAGCAAGCAGATACATCAGCTAGTCAACCACTGGATGTGATATACCGATAAGGTAACTCTCGGGGTGATACCCCTTTTTCACTTTGCATTTCTCAATACAGTGCAATGAGAATTGCTCAGATAAACGTCTGAATGTCCCCGAGAAGCACATAAGGGAGACATCACCAAGTCTACAAATTGAAGCACTCACAGAGAAACAGAAATACAAGGGGTTGAAAAGACCAGAAAGTTGAACACTTATAACCTGGACATGTCCTGCACGAGTGCAAGTAACATTTTCATCAGAATTGGACACAGTAGTCCTGGCTGACTTAATATATTTATCTAATGAAACTTGCAACAAGCTGAATTCTCTAGGATCCAGTTGTTCACAAGTTTTACACTCTCTAGTTGATAAGTGCCAGGAAAACCAAATGTTGTGTTATTGACTGCAAAGGGATTAATCCAATTGATAGCTATGTCCACCATTTAAACAACTGGGGCCTGAATAAGTTGTTAAAATTTGGTAGATTTTCTAGTAACAGGGCTTGATGGTGCACTTTTGGAGCCAATTTCACCTGTACTTAGTTTCTTTAGTCTCAGAGTTGACCTAAGAAAAGATCCACTCTTGGCTCTTACATTAGCGTCATCCCTTGTCCAAGCAATACCAGCTAGAGGTCTAATAATGTGAACTGCTCCTAAAGTTGGTGATAAGGAGGCAGATGCCAATTGATTAACATTTCCTCCTGTCTTCTGTTCCCTCTCGCTCTTTGATGCCTGAACAGTAATATTTCCATCGCAGACAAGAGATGTCCTTTTTCCTTCTTTGCCAGCAGACTGGGGTATTTCTAAACATATTTCAGGACCATAGTGCTGTGATATGTCAATTGCCTCAATACTATCCCCAGAGTATCTTCTTGCAGTTCTAAAATTCTCTGGAACACTGAGTGAAGCTAGTGAACTTCTAACATCCTTCAAGCCTTTGTCCAAGGGCTCCAAAGTCATTCCACTGGAGTGCCTTCGGCCTCCTTCATCAGAGATTTCTAAAACTGACTGTAGTGGCTCAGCATTATTCTGGACAACATTCACATCACTGGTTTTCATCACATGAAGAGATCCCTTTGAGGAAAGATCAATTGGTTGTTGATAAAGTGATCTTGTTGTGGCATCACGTTGTAGAAAATTGTGTATCAAGCAATTTACTCTAAAAACCAAACAAGAATTGAATCAGCAAAGCTGTGACACAACACTGTCTGCAAAGCAACACCAAAATCCTTGTTCTGGACCCCACCATTGCACCAGGATTTGTGTATGTGCCATAATTGGCCTGTTAAAGAAGCCATTGTTAATTTGCCTGTATGAAAGGAAATTCAAAATGCACTTCCACTAATTTGTTGATTCCACTAGAGGCCCAGAACATGAACAAGGATCTTGGCAATGCTTTGCAGACATTATGACCTGAGGTAAAATTATGTCTGTGACAGTCAGGCTGGAGGTAAATATGTCATAACAAGAATCATCTTTGTATAGCTAGAGTATTATTCTCACCTAACAGGAGATTCCACCATGACCATATGACCTGCATCTTGAATAACCTCCAGTGATGAACTGTATATTACCTACAATCACAAAAACACAATACTGTATAACTCCATTTAAAGGCAGTACCTTACCTCCCCTCCGGTCCCTCACAGATTTTTATTAGCTTATCACAAACACAGTATGATAGTCTGTCAATTTGACTTGCTATAGTAATGAATACAATATATATAGTAATTTCTTCAAACACTTCTAATCAATTACCATTTGCTCCCGCATTTAGAACCAACAAAGGGAGAATTTATTCATTACTCTGCTAAGGCATTTGTTCCATTATAGTTGATATCAATTTGATAACTAGAATTAATTTAAAGATAGGGAGTACAGCTGATATTTTTCAGTGAATGCATCACCAAGTATTTCCCAGAGTCTATCTTGCAGTCTGTCATTCATGTCATACCATAATACGAGGCACTTATTTAAAATTATGGCTAAACAGAGGAGTGCCTTCTACTGGAAAGAGGTTGCTGGATTAAAGGGAAGGGCAAATTAAGTTTTCCTTTTCACAAAAAGTTAATATTAACAATCTTGTGCTTCTTAAAACAGTAGTTGTAATTAAGTGTATCATAGTCCCATTAAACATTTAACACAGATGTACCAGTATGCATGTTTATAAAAAATCAATAACTCATAATCCTCAAGATCATCCCCTTCAAAGATATGCAGATCTTCGCATTCCACTTGTATCAGTACTAATAAGAAAGTGAGGGGGAAGGGAGGGGGGCACTTACTTGATATTATGGCCTTGGGGGCTGGCACTTATTTGGGGGAGGGCGTTCATTAGAGAGTGGGCAATGAATTGAGGAAATAAAGCAGTCCTGTAAAAAAGTACTTGAAAAGAAGATTATTCTATTATTCAGTTCCACAGTTTATGGGACTGCAATACATCTAAGTTAATAATAAATGTGCTCCTTACGTTGCCGACAAAAATGAAGGTTGATGAAAATCAACAAACAATAATATCAATTTAAGAAAGGAGGATGCATGTCAGTGCAAGGATGGGACACTAGACTGATACATGGCAGGAACAATCAACTTAAAAATATTAACAATCTATTCATAAAAACAATCATTTCTATCCCAACAAAAAGCAGACACAAATAGCCACTCATCGCAAGAATGCCATGTAAGCATTCTTTTCACTGACCTCCTGCATCCACTCTTCCTCCTCAAGAGTTACAAATTTATCCTGTGCACCATAAATTAACAATGCGGGAACCATCAGTTCTTGATGATAGGCTTCATCCCCCTCTTCCCATCTCTGAAAAACATTCATAAAATTACACTACAGCAAACTTAGCTCTAAGGTTGCTGAAAAAAGTTTTGACAGGCTGTGAGTTGTTACCACTCATGACTTAGGGTGTTATGCAAGACATGTTGCAGGTATAAAGCTCAAATAAATTTCACATGGAAAAAATATATGCGAAAGACATTAAATTTATTAGGTAAAATCTGGAATGTTTGACCATTGCCAACTGAAGGTAATAATGGAGACTGAAAATAACTTGAAACTTTCATATTTACAAGGTTTGTCCAAAGACAGTTATTCTTGACTAGCGTGCATAAAATAAGCTTTCAATACAGTGTGTGGAAACTCATAACGACATCAAAATTTGATTACACTTTTGCATGCACAGAAACAATTGAAATCAGAGAATAATTAGCGCCGTGTTCAGCCACTTTAAGGAGGCCACAGGTCAGTAGAGTCCTCTCTTGCATGAATTCAATCATCAAAAGAAAGACTTACTTGGCCTGGTTAATACAAAGTGCTTCTGCTGTGCAGACCTTAATCATATAGTTTAATAAATTGGGTCCAACAGATTAGGAGCACAATAGAAGCACAACTTCAATCCAAACATCGTGCTGGATTCAAATTAAACTTGAGTGCATAATATCTATTCAGCAGTAAATGAAACAAAAAATGGTTCTGTACTTGAAACTGAGGTGTAATAACATTTCTGAGATTAATGAATTTAGTGTGATATGACATAAGCATGTTCCTTGAACTAGTGCCCTGACAGAGTCATGTGGCAGAGCTAATCAAACTTAACTTAACCAAATTTAAACTTTGATTCAGAGGTCCTGCTTGTGCTTAATGTTTTTGTCGAACTTCAATTTTAAGCAAAATATGTATACATTGGCCTTATACACCTATATAATATAAAACCTGAAATTTCCCAATATTTTTTGAATGTGAAAATGTATTGGTTATCTGTATCAATGGTAACCAATGTACGAAACACAAAATATCACATGACTGATCCTCACCTGCCCAGCCATCACAGCTTTCAATACAAAAGGTGGGGCACTAAAGGCTTTGACTTTCTTCTTTATTAATCTTGCTTTTTGACTGTTGTAGGCTCTCCTGTAAAACAAAAAATACAACGACAATCAACTCAACAATAACCAAAGAAAAAAATCAACAAATAGAAAGCAAGCTCTGTATTTGGGGTTCCAACCTGAGACTGCAAATTGTTTGCTATACCTCCCCATGGTCCAGTTAGCTATGGAGGTCCTTCTTCAAACGCTTGAGACAACCAACCAGCTGGGTGATCTGGGCAGTGCTTCTGACTGGTTGTGCCCCAAGGGACATTTGCTTTAACCAAGATCTTGCACTTAATGTTCAAAAGGTGGATAATGCTATCCACTGGATAACACAATATTGGTTTCCCTAATATTTATCCAGAGGATAGAGATTTTTCTGGTGGATAGCATTGTTCAACGGTTGAACAACCCAGCCTGGGTAATGACAAATCATCAGTAATGAATTTTTGCAGTCATTCCTTGGACATCATTTTGCAGGGAAACCAGTGGTAGCATTGCAAAATGTTGGCTGTGTTCGTAGGCTAACAGAAATTCAGCTTACCTCTCGTATACACCTAAAAACACAGGCTTGATACAGGACAGCACAGGTGTAGGAAGGCGGAATAGGTCACAGGAGTTAACACCCACAAGAGGCACAGGACCTCCTCCAGCAATAAGAACCATCTTGGATACTAGACGAGCACGCTCTGATGCAATAACTGAGCAAAAAGATGCCCTACAACAGATAACAGATGTTATTACACATTGTACTCACTATCATCTGTCTTATCATTGGCTGAGAGCCGACAGCTGAAATCAGCGCAACCTACAGATTAGTTATTTACCTGCTAGCAGATAACTGACTAATCTGTAGGTTGTGCATGCCATGCATGATTTCCAATAACAATATCAAGTCAGGTTCTGTACGACTGTGTATTTGTCATTATTTTCTCCAAAACAACATATAATGAAACAATAATTACAGTAGATTCGGTTTTGTGATATCCTACATAATCAGCTGGTCTAAGTGTTATCAGCCTTGGCCTTTCACTAGGCTGATAACCCTTACCTCGACCTTGATTATTCCGGATATCACAAAAACCTCATCCAATAATAATTGTTCAAGATCAATCCAGCGAACTGGCTGATAATTGATCATAATATATATTAATTGATAACTATTAGTCATTCACAATTTTTCTCCATTTCTGATTGGCTTAATCCTTCAAGGGCCAATATCCAGATACAAAATTATACAAACATTTCCGTGAAGAATTCGTTGGGTGAATTTGACTTAAGATCAATCAATTTAAAATTCCCATCACCTTTTCTCTTGATTATGTATTGGTATCACTAGGAGAAAATTGATGTTAGTCAGTCTTAGGAGTCAGAGTGTAAATCCCCTGGCTAGTAAAAAATTGACGTCTTCCAAATTTGTTCATTGTCATGCAGGTTATGAAGAATAATTATTATTATTCATAATATCAACTGTATCGATATCACAAGAAAAAGAGACAGCAGAAGGCATGGTATAAACTCAGTGTTTTGGCAGAGCTGGAGAAAAATCACCAAAGATTTTGACCCAGGGAAGAAGAAATGGCAAAACTACTGCCTATAAAAATGGCCAGAATAACAAAAATACAACTCAAAAGATAACAACATTACTGCTATTTCATATTGATCTGCTGGAATAAACATCCCTTCATATCCTGGAACTCCCAGGGGACAGGCAAAAATTAATGTTATTGAGATGAGAACTTTTCATAGATCAAGGTAAGCATGTTTTTTAGTTCAAAACATTCTGAACAAATAATTAAACAATAGAGGAGGGATATCCAGCCACCGTTCTCCATCTGTATAATTCTCTGTATTATATATACTCAGCCTCATGCAAGCTACTTAACGATGAATTAATAAAGAGGTAGAGGTGAGAAAGGCCTGGTTCAGATGCCAAACTTTTCATGAGCTGAAGCTAATTCAAATTAAGGCCAACCCAAATTATTTAGACCGGTTGAAATTCAAACTGCTTGCAAAATACATTATCATAATTTATACATTAGGTTAGGCACATGAAATGTTCGGCATCTGAATCAAAGGTGTTCCAAAGTTGTTCCACAGTCGAAATTCCCAGCCAGGCTAGGCAGGAAGAATGGCTGAGCTGTACGTTCCAAATTGAAATAGGCGTTCCTAATCCCGGGGTATCCAATCGATGGAAATCGATGATTGGAAAACCAATCGATCAATCGATAAAATTAGTTAATTGGTATCGATTGGTATTGGTCAATCGATGACCAATCGATAACCACACAAAAATCGTTCATCGATTGGCATCGATTGGCACAGGACCTCGAGACAGACGTCACGCACGCTACCTGTCCGATCATCCGCCATTTTTAGGAAGCCCTGGGGACAAAATTGGTAAAACAATTCCAACCCAGACTTCTCAGTGCAAAGAATATACCCTGTTGCACGCGTACTCGAATTACCCACTTGCCCGTCATTGCCTTTCCGTGTCATAATGTCTACGCAAGACGTCCGGGCAGAGGCTTTACTGAATATAAGGTGCATCGTCAAAGGCTCTCATCTTTGCCGTTTTGAGGTGAACGTCGGTGAAGTGTTCAACCAAGAAGAGGGGAGAACGCGGAAACGCGTTTAAAGTTGTGAACCATCATGGACAACTCGGCCATCTACAGTCCGAGCTCGTGGATCCTCTTTGGCCACTACATGCAGATATTTCAGTGTTAGTGAATTTTTAATTTGAACTTTTAATTTGTCAAAAATAAAACCGGATTCCCGTGGACGGGCCGTTAACGTTAAAGGGAAAGAAGAAAGATTGTTCTTCTGTTGACATGAAATGAATGGTGTTTACAATTACATGCGTACAAAGTGTCAATTCCGTTTCCGCCAATCTACAACCAAGCAATACCAATTTATCTATTGATTGGTATTGATAATCGATACCAATCGATAACCACACGAATCTTCGCCATGGATTGGTCATCGATTATCAATATCAATCGATTAATTGATATCGATTGGTATCGATTGATATTGATTGTCATCGATTATCGATTCCATCGATTGGATACCCCGGGCCTAATTGATTCAGACGCCAAACTTTCCATGTACTTATAATTCAATGTATTAGGTTCAGGTCATGAAAAGTTTGGCATCTGGACAGGACCAAAGGCTCCCGTCAGGGTCAGTAATAAATGGTCATTGGTGTGAGAAACTTACCCATACGAATGCCCAACTAAGACATTTCTTTTCTTGTGGTAGCGATCGAATAAAAATACTAAATCACAAGACAGTTCTGAGAACTCGTAATCTGCAGAATTTCTCGGCGCTGAACTTTGCCCATGTCCTAACAAGTCAGGTGCCACCACTTCGTATCCCGCTTTGCAAAAGTATAAAAGCTGTTCATACCACAGATCAGCACTTCCACCTACTCCGTGGAAGAAAAATATAACAACGACTCTCTTATAGTCTGGATCAACAGCCTTTGTTGCAGAAGAAACGGAATTGAATGAATTTTCCCGACTAAAACCGCTATCTACTGAGGTCGATACGCAAGGCTTGTAATGAACTACTCTCAACCAACGACCTTGTCGGATTTCAATCCTTTCAGATGTTAGATCAGTAATGGGACCAACTCTGTTTTGATCACGTCCTCCGAAGGCTCCGCACATGAGGTAGTCCTCGAACACGATCTTCTTGAGTGGATGGAGATTCCTTCCTGATCTAATTAAAAGCAACCCAATTCTATTTGCGTTCAACTTTCTTTTTTAAACGCGACCTTGGTATAGATGATTCTGTACATAAATTCCAAATGAAGCTTGACCCTTCCAGTAAAAGGTAATATCCTGATCTCGAGCAAGTAAAATTAATTTTCCATAGTCTTCAATTTATTGACACAAAACTTGATCTTCTGCCAGTCCAAACATCTGAAAGAGGGGAACCTTCGGCTTAAAATTTCAATGAGATAACTTTGAGCTCGTCTTATTTCTGTCCTGAAACTAAAAGAAATGCATTTTGTTTATGTCGCGAAAATCACCAGCGCTCTTTCAGGGTCTAACTTCGTTCAAGATGGCGCCGTAAAAAAACCGCTGTGAGCCTAAAAGCTTAGCATTGTTGATAAACATACAAAACATTACAGAAAGTCAATGTTAGGATAAGATTACCTTTAAGATTCAATTTAAAACTAGCGTCCATCCTGATTTTAACAGAGGAAACATTTTTTCAAAAACAAAACATCCGCCAGCATCATATCACGCTGAAAACTTACCGCTAACACTGGTGCCGATACCTAAGCGTATCGGAAGTCGCGTCACAACATCTGTTGCTAAGAGAACGGAACACAAATATTTAATACCGAAGGTACGTGATAGTATTGTTGATGAAAAAAATAACATGTTCTTACGTTGTCTTATGGATTAGTCATTTGACTGAAGTCATCCTCTGTGGAGGTTTTTAAAATCACCAGTTTGTAGGAATAATAGAAGAAAGGTTTTTTTTCAACTGTAGCAGGGAAGGGGGGGTAAAGCAGATGATGTTGCCTCTTAAGAAAATAAACGAAGTTTCTTTCTTTTTCAATTTTAGGGAAGAGTTGTTGTAGTTGTTGTTGTTTTTTTTTCGGTTGTTGACGTTCTGTTAACTTTTATTATCTGTTTGTTTTCTCTTGCTTTATCAAAATATGATCTCGAGTGAAGACATTTCCTATTTTCATTTGTTACTGCACCCAGGCTATTTAAATATATTTTCCTCTCTGTTCTTGTTTTTATTTTATTAAGCTTATGAAGAAAAGGGACAAAGAGGAGGGGTTTAAACACCTCTGAAATTTCTTCCGGGTCAGACTGCAATTATCTTGCAGGCTGCCATGCAAGTGGCTAGGAACCCTTGCCAGGGTACGTATGCCCCGCTGCACAGAGCTGAGAGCCAGTCTTAAAAGACTTAGGGCAGGGGAAAATACCAGATTGAAAATCAAAAGAGAACAAGAATAAACATCTTATGAAGTTTTCAGCTAAGGTTTATTATCACTCTATTATGGGGTATATTCATATAACATTAATCAGATTACAAATAACCTCAAAGTCTAACTCTCTTGTCTAGTATTCCTAACTAAAGTGTAATAAATTAAAAAAGCTCTCAGAAGTGTTCTTTTGCCTATGTTAAGGTTTCTTTAAACCATATTTTACAAGAAGTAATAATTTACTTGTAAGAAATAAACCCAGCAGGAAATTAAGCAAGAGCTATTTGGAAAAAAATATTATAGTAATAACTGCAACTGGGTAACAATGTCCAGGTTTATGAAGAACATAGCTTAAAAATGCAAATATGAAATTAATAAAACTATTAAACTGATTGAAAATTTTTAAATTATCAATTACCTCACTATAAAAAGAAACTACACATTTCTTTGTCGGTCATTATTTCCAGAGGAAAATCATATATTGCTAGAGCAGAAAAGCAACAACATTTACAGAGTATAGGATAAGGTCACATATTGAGATTTTATTTTAGTCATTTCATGGTTTAGGACAAGCACCATCAAACTCTGATTTTTAACTTATCCCATCCTAAGCTTGTTCCATTTCTACTAAGACCCCACCACAATCTTTTGGATGCAAGAACACCACTGGTTTGCCATGGGCACCAATCTAAAATGAAAGAGATTGTACACCAAAACACAAAAGTCAGTATGTTGCACAAAACAGACCAAAACCCATAAGGATGCCAAGGTGCAGATCCACACTGGTTTCCATCTTTTCAGGGAAATTGGACAGATTTTTATTCCTGGGCATTAGGAATAATAATAATAACCCACTGTTTTGCAAGGCTCCATCCAAGGAGAATGGAACTGGCCAATATCCTGTCTGAATGACTAAGAATCCCATGAAAGGGGACTTTAGGGAGTTAAAATCCAAAAAATATCTTAGAGAAACATGCCATTGGACCCCCCTCCCTTCTCAGAAGCTTGCACCTTCCGGGGCCAGTGTTTAGGAAACCAGTCAGTATTCATCCTAGTCTAGATCCCTGCCTGATGACTGTGCACATACATGAATTTATATGAAAAACTTGCATGGACTAAAGATATTAAAATTTACCCTTGGTTCTGGGCTCAAGGCTCTTATCTTATGTTCCTTGAGATCTTTCATAGCAGCTTTTATGTCATCAACCTGTAAAAAACATTATTAGGTAAGAACACCCATATATGACCAGGGCATGAAAAAACAAGCCCAATGGTACACTTAACAACCAAAGGGGTGGCCCATTTAGGTCAGAAGCTGACAAAGAGAGTCACTATAGCTGTAACTTCTGGAGGCATCAATAATATTACCATCACAGTCTCTCCTAGTTGTACGTAAACTGTTGGCTACATTGATCTAATAAACACACTCTGAATAAAATCTCTGGTAGTATCTGGTTTGTCTATTGTATCACTAACTGTTTTGTAATACTTTTAATGGACATTCAGTAACTTCGGTAATGTTCAGGATAATTGACAAAAGTTGCCAACAACTGAGTGAGTGAGTGAAAGAGTGAATGACACATTTGCATTTTGCCCACAAAAACTCACTTGTACACCACACATATTCACAAGCAAAAAAGCTAACCTCAATACAGATGTGATGTATCCCTCCACTAGTATTCTTCTTCAGAAAGCCAGCGATAGGACTATTCTCTCCCAAGGGATGTAAAAGCTGGCAAGTGGAGATAAAAACAACCAAGATTTAAAAATACACTTGTTACTTTTGTCTAATTCCTTAGTGTTTTAAAACAATCTCCACTTCCCCCCAACTCAACCCCCAATCCAACATTATTATGATCTTTTCAATACTGGAGTCATTATTAATACGGAAATGAACAAATTGAATGTAGTTCTAACTTTTGAGTCTGAGGATACAATAATCAATGGAAGTGAATTGGCCGACTTCAGTCGTACATTCAACTGACAGGTTGTGTTGCAGCTACTATTATTAATTTTTAAACTTGAGGCTTTATCTTGAAATGGCATTGGTTCGGTGCATGCTATTTTCTGATCTTTCTTTCCAAAAGACAAACCAGACCTGCCAAGTCGCTGACTATTTTGTAATGAGCCTCACAATTTGATGACTTAGCTTATGCTTTCACGAGTTGACAACTGATTTCTCATGCAATACAATTCTTGAAAAGCCTGATCCAAAAAGGTTTTGGAGCATCTGTAGGGTTCATTTCCAAGTTAGATAGCAACTAGCATTCGCATTTGATTAGCAAAATAATACTTCTTGCCAACTTGGGTGCATTGTTTACATTCTTCAGGCTACAGCAAACCTTATCATGATTTGCCCTTCCCACATCACTGTTAAAAAATAGCCAAAAAACTTGTGCATATGAGCAGTGACAAAGAAGATTAATGATGTTTACTGCTCAAGCTTTAACACATAATAATACCCATACCACTTCTGGAAGTCCTTCCACTAGGAAATTTGGGACATTTTCCTCATTTTTATTCCTCATTTTCCCAGCTCTAGGTTCAGAATCTCAAGATTTTTGCCTCTTGAATTGTGTGACAACAGGTCGGAAAAAGTGATGTCTTACCTCAAGTTTACTGTTCCCCAAATTTACAAAAACAGTTGAAACTCCGTGTTCTGGAAGATCCTACAACGAAACAAGAAAGTTCATGTGATATAGTCATGGCAACCACCACAGTGCAAAAGAGGGCAGTTATAACTTTCACGGCTGTGCTTTCGGAATTTCTGCTAGCCCCAGTGGTGACTTACTTTCCTTTCTGGATGATAAGGTATTCTTATTTTTTAAACCAGAATTTACATATGTAGCATCCTAGGTGTCATCGATAAAGGCTTTTTGGGCTCTATACAACTGATTCTTCTTAGAGCACAGGTTTTGGGGGGAAGTCTTTGTGTTCACGTTTTGAGTGTCGTCAGTGTAAGACAAACATTGTTGGGAAAAAAGCACTAAATATATGCCTCAGAAAGGAGTCAACCTTAGCGAGTCAAAGAAAAGGACTATAGCTAGAATGTTTAACAGCTGGGGCCCAATGTTAGGTGTCCATTCAGATACATGTATGAGAGCAGTCAGTGGCGGATCCAGGAGAGAGGCCCAGGGGGTCCGCCCCCACCTCTTATTTTTAGACCAAACCAAGGCCCAATTCCAAAGGGCCGAAAAAAAAATTTTTGAGAGCGGGCACCCCCCTTATCTCAGGGTGGATGACTAGCCCCCCCCCGGTAGTTACAGTTATCTAAATGAACAAATAACTTACCAGTACTCCACTGACATCTGCACCTAAGACATTCTTGTACATTGTACTAGCCTGGTCTGCAAAACCAGCAGAAAACAAATTCCAACTGATCAGTTCCGTTTTGTCAAAACTGCAGAACCCTGTTCCCACCACAGCACAATTACTGCTTTACATCCTATTGGGTGCCAAAAACTAAAATTGGAAGAAGAAAGTCCTAAAAAAATGACAAACAATTGCAACCCTGAAAGATCAACTGCTGTAGGAACCCTATGGATTGACCACACTGACAAAGTTATGATGCAGTATTATCATCAGTCAGAGGACACAAACATTAACCTGACTTTTAATGTCAAGCAACTGATAGTACTTTTCCTGACAGAATTTGCTAATTTCAAAAAGTTAAGGTTTATTTACCTAAATCTGGAACAGCAATTGCAACATGGTTCAGTTTTCCAAGTTTCCAAAGTTTCTCTTGGTTATTCTATATTAAAGAAAGAATT